ACTTAAATGCTTAAATGTAATCATTAATATTGTAAAGTTTTTTCTTTTTATCATATAAATTTTTATAAAAAAAGACTAATTGATCAGTGAGCAATTAAAAATTGTTCATACTTTACTTTTTTTTTTTTTTTTGAAAGTAATAAAATGAAATAAATTGAGGAAGTATTATGAGGAAGGAAGAAATACATTTGAATGACTTATACATTTCCTACCTAATATTCTTTTAGAACAAAAAAAAAAGAAGAAGAAGAGAATAACTATAATTACCAAATATAAATTTTTTATAATTATTTATTTATTATTTGGCATTAAAATTCAAATGTTTTTGCTATATATAAATTTTTTATAATTATTTATTTATTATTTGGCATTAAAATTCAAATGTTTTTGCTATATATAAATTTTTTATAATTATTTATTTATTATTTGGCATTAAAATTCAAATGTTTTTGCTATATATAAATTTTTTATAATTATTTATTTATTATTTGGCATTAAAATTCAAATGTTTTTGCTATATATAAATTTAACGTTCAAATTTTTATTATTTTATCACAATATTTTCAAATTATTTTAAATTATATAAATGAACTATATAATACTCATTAAAATGATAGAAAAAAAAAATTTTTTTTTAAACTACCTTATTCAATATTATGTATTTCAACATTTGCTTTTTTTTTTTTTTTTTGTATATCACTTTAAGTATAACAATTAATTGGTTTTAAGTAAATTTTTTTTTTTTTTGAGAAATAATAATTATTGATTTGAAGCATTGAAATTTGAATTAATATTTGAAATGGCTAACTAAACTATATTGCATAAATATTTGTGATTTATCATTTTAGTAATGTCCAATTTCTAAATGTTTAACCGTTGCTTATTAAAATTTTTTGATAATCTAATTAATAATCATAGAAGATATTGCTTATTTGTTTACATCTTATAACTTTTGTAAAAAAAAACAATTTCAATTTTTAGTCTCTTTAAATGATTTTTCCTTTTCACATTTTAAGTTTTATCTTATTCGTAATTTTAGATTTATTTGTTTTTTTTTTTTTTTTTTTTTTTTTTAAAGAGAAACTTACTTCAAAAACATTAAACAATCATTTAAAAAAAAATATGGAAAAAAAAAAGGATAGGATGAGTTTCATTTCTTGCAAATATAAAAGTAAACATTATTTAATAGCTAGTATTTTCCTTTTTTTTTTTTTTTTTTAAAGAATCATATTGGTGACATACTTTCTATACATATCAACAAAGTGACACATTTAAATCGTTTTCAATCTATTAGATATTAACATGAAAAAATGCTTACTTTCAAGTTTTACAAACAAAGAATTTAAGACACTGTCAAAAGTTATATTTTTATCAAAATACTATTAATGTATATTTACATCTGTAAAAGTATATTTTATAAAATAATTGCTATTATATCATCATTTATTATAAATAATAATTTAATAGAAAATTTATTCATTTAAAATTTTACAATAATAACAACATTAGCAATAATAATGATGATAATAGCTACAACAATAACAATAACAACGACAACAATAACAATAATAATAATAATAATACAATTATTGTCGATTATAATCCGCTTCAATCGACCATTATCAATGATGCGGCAACAAACCCGAATTATCATTTTTGGAATTTATTAATTCGCTGCTTTACATTGCAACGATAGTTGCGATGACAAAAAGAAGACGAAGAAGTGACCTTCCCAAAGTCTGAAAAACCCGTAATTCCCGATATTTCTACACCCATCCATTCAATCATTTTCACATCTATAACCCTCAATTTTCCTTTCATATTAAATTCCTCCTTCTGCATGCTTATATAATTGTTCAAAAAAAAATTTTTTAATTTTAAATAAAAATATAATACTATTAGCTCTTTCTTCTTTTCTTTTTTTTTTATTTAATATGAATTTTACCGCCTCTTAAGCTTTTTACAATTCATTCAACTATTTAATATAATCATAAAAAAAAAAAAAAAAAAAAAGATCAATCAAACAAAAATCTTTTTTTTTTTTTTTTTTTTTTACTAACTATTAATTTTCATTCAATTAAAGGTCATATTTTTACAATCTTTTCTTTTCTTTTGCTTTGCTTTCCTTTTTTTTTTTTTTATTTTTTTTTCATTCTTTTGAGCCAAAATTCTCGAAAATGAGCAATGACAGCGCCCAATGGAGCGTTACATTGCACTACAATTACACTATTACATATATATATATATACATATTACCTTTAGATTTGATATAAATTTGATCAATTTATTAATTCTTTTCTCTCATTTTCCTTTCATCTTTTCATTCCTTCTCTCTCCCTCTCTCTCTCTCTCTCTCTCTCTCTTTGTGATTAATTTGATTATTACTATGATAAATTCAACATATATATATAACATTCTTAATGCTAAATCATTAATATTATTTTTTCTTTTCATTTTGTTCCTTTTTTCTTTTTTTTTTTTCTTTTTATAATTTAAAATTTTTTTTTTAAATTTTAAAAAATTAAAATAAATACTTTGCAGTATTTATAATAAATTTGTGGAAAAACAAAAATTGATTAGAATAGAAGTAAAAATGATAATTTAATTTGCTGATTACGGTATCAATTTGTATTACAGTTGATGTGCTGATATGAATTTTGTGAATGCCAAATGATTAGTTACATTTATCAATGGCAATATTGGGAGGAGCATTGATAAAAGTTTAAACTATTCCTTTCTTCGTCATCAAAACTTTCAACTGTCCCATTTTCTACCCTATTCCACTTTCTCCGATTCATTACTAACCTCTTTCTAAATAATCGGTTTAAAAATTTAAGCTAATACTGCCCTCTTTTTTTTATCATTTTTAAATTTTCATTCTATTATTTCATTCTTTCTTTCTTTTTTTATTTATTTTTTTTACAATTTCTTCTTTCTTTTAAATGTTTTTAAATCAAATATTCATACTTTGTTTGTTTTATTTTGCTTTGTTTGTTTTTTCGTTGTTGCACTTTTCGTTATCTATTATTAGTTAAATGTGAAATATTTAAATATTTTTCAATTAACTCATTTTTTTTTTTTCTCAATCAATTTCAATTCTAATTTAAACAACTAAACTAACTTCCATTTTGAATTATTTAAGAATTGCACCGATTAAACCAATCTTTTGAAATTTAAATGATTAAATCCATATAACCCAACATTAAATGAGGCATCGATGACAATAAATGATTTAAAATACTTTAATAATTATACTAATTAACAATGCTTTTATCTATTATTGTGATAATATAAGAATTATTCTTAAAATTAAATTTTAAATTTCTTTTTTGTTTCTTCTTCTAATTTATCTGTAAAAGTTAAAGGAAAAAAAAAAGACATTTGCAAAGTTTTAGTATGACAATAATAAAAATAGAATTGTGATTCATCTATGAAGCAAAAAATTTAAGTAAATACTAAAATTATAAAATACTACTTACAAAAAAAAAAATTTTTCCCAAACAGATTACTACAATGAATCATAATTTTTAATCTTAAGCTAACTTTTGTGACAATTTCTTAAAAAATTGTCATCAATAATTCAAAGCTATATGATATGATATGATATATTACATGAAATTTTACTGATATGAAAATTTTTAAACAAAAAAAAAGAGTGAAATTCATTTATTTAATGTATTGAAAAAAATTTTTAATAATGATACTAAATAAATTCATAAAATTATTCAAATATATAAGTTATTGCTTATTTGTGAAGTAAATTTGCTAATTTTTTTTTTTTTCGAAAATTTTAAAATTGAAATTACAATTTAGCATAATAATTCATTTTGCATTTATTAGACATTAATTTAATTCAGTGCAAATGATAATAAATTGATAGGAATTTGTTATTTGAAGTAAAATTTTCTTATTATTTAATGATGAAAAATATTCACATTGTGCTATTTTAAGTGAGAGAGAGAGAGAGAGAGAGAGAGAGGGAAAGGGAGAGAGAAAGAGAGAAAAAAAAAAACGGAAAGAAAATTAGAAATGAGAATTGGAGGTTAGAAGACCAATTCTATTTGATTGAAAAGTTTAAAGTATCTAAATTTTTTTTTTTTAATTTTTTAATTTTCTTTCTTTTTTTTTTTTTTTTTCAAATTATTATGGAACACAATGAACAAAACTGTAATGTTAAACGTATTTCATTTTACTTCTCACCGATCATTGCTCAATCATTAAGCAACAATTTTTTCACGTTTTTTTTTTTTTTTTTCAACAAATATACTCTCACATACACTTATTCACGTATAGATAGACGGACAGACGCATACACACACACACACACACACACACGTATGTACACACATCCACATGCATACACAAACATACATACATACACGTGTACACATCCATATTAAACGCAAGTCCACGCATACATACACGTATGCATACTCAAATGCAATACAAGCATGTTGAAGTGCGTACATGTGTACACGTTCATCACGTAGAGTAAAGAGATATACACGTATAGTTGATTGGGTTAAAAGGAAAAAAAAAAATTAAAGCTTATCAATTATCAGTGTTAAATTGCCAACAGATTCAATAAAAATTTCTTCCATTCATTCATGCATATTTTAATGTGTTTACATTTAAAAATTTTGACACTTACGTAAAATTTACTAAGTATAATTGTAATAATTTATTATTACAATTAATATTTTCAAAAATTTTTATATTAAACAATTTGTAATAAATTATTTTCTTTCAAAAATATTTTGATTTTTGATTTTTTTTTTAGAAAACAAAAAAACTTACAAATAATATTATTAAAAATATATTATTATTTGCATCAAGAAAAAAAAAAACAAATGTATTGAAAAATTTTTTTAATTATGAATTTTAAAATGAAAAAAAAAAAGAGAAAAAAAAATTTGCATAATTATTAATTAATTATAATTTAGGAAATATTTGACGCATTATGCTAAATGTTATGGAATGATCAATAAGCACAATATGCTATGGTATAGCATTCATATATTGGTTCATTGAATTTTGTCAACGAATTTTTGCGCATTTTCTTCAAATCATAAAATAAAACAAAAAAAAAACAAAAAAATTGTGTCAGCAACTGTCCAACTTTTCTCCAATTTTCTTTTTCTTTTTCTTTTCTTTTTTTTTTAAAACATTGTAAGGAAAGCGAAATATTTCAACGGCAAATAAGTGCAATGCATGAAATGATCAGCAACAGAACCGGTAATAGCAGCAATAATCGTTTTACTGCCACTCAGGTATCATTTTGCTTTCTTTTTTTCTAAATTAAATTTCAAAAAGAAATTTTATAAATTGAAAAAATAAACAAAAAAAAAAAAAAAGAGAAATTTCAAAAGTTCAAATGATTAATGATGAACAAAAAAAGATTACTGTAAACGATAAAATAATTAATAAATATATTAGCTAGTAAAATTTCACAATATTTAACAATTTATTTCTATTTAGATAGATTAATTAGCAAAATTATAATGATTTATCATAGATAAGCATATTAATAATTAATTAGAAATTTTTTTTTGTAGTAATTTTTCTCTTTTTTTTTTAAGATAGAAAAAAGTTATTTCATTCAAAATTATTTTGTAACAAAATTTTCAGGTAACATTTTTGTGTCAGGTATGCAATGAACTTGCTAGAGGTTATCATTTTGGAGCATTTACCTGTGAGGGTTGCAAGGTGAGCAAAACTGTGTCTGTAAAATGTTTCAATTTATGTCATTTTTTTTTTTTTTTTTTTATGCTATAACTATTAATATTGATTATCCATCAATCAATTTGCTATGACATAAAATTGACTAATAATTATAAGCAATAACATTTCTTTCTTTTCCATTAATAAAATTTAAGTAAAATAAAAAGAAAAAAAGTAATAAATTTTCAATAAGCAAAAAAAAAAAAAAAAAAAAAAAAATGAAAACATAATTTTTAAATTGCAAAAATGAACTATTAAATTATTTGAAAGAGTTAATTAAATTTAATGTTGCATTCATTGACTTATTCACATCGTTCATTTTCAATTGTTTCTCAACGAAATGAAATAAAATAAAATTGTGAAAAATTTTTCGCTTCATTTAGCAAATATTGAAAAATGTTTTCATTTTCTTTTTTTTTTTTCTCGATGAAAAATGAAGAGAGAGAGAGAGAGAGAAAGAAAAAAAGTAAAATAACAAGAAGTCATTTTTACCTAGAAAATAAGTACTCTAAAAGTAAAAGTACAGTAAGATAAAAAGAATATGATAAAATATCTTAATTGGTTCAAGTAAAAAAATTAGAAAAAAAAAAGAAAAAGAGAGAGAGAACAACTTTAGTGCAATACAAAATAGAAAAAAAAGGAAAACATTAATTACCGGTTTTAAAAATTTCCAGAAAACAAATCAGTAAATTCATACAGTAATGAAACATAAAAAAAAAAAAAAAAAAACGAAAGAAAGAGGAAAGAGGAAAAGAAAGGAAAGGAAAAAACCAATTTATTTAATTATTGAATAAAATTTTTTCATTATTATTATTATTACTTTTTCTTTAACAATTAAATTTCCTCATTCTTTCATATAATTCTTTTTTAATTATCTAATTAAAAAATAATTTTATATATTTTTAATATTAAATGTCAATGTCATCACTTTTAATACAATCATTTATTTCACTTTTTTTTTTTTTTTTGCTTTTTTTAAATATGTTGAATTTATTTCATATTTGTACATAAAGTTTTTTTCTCTTTTGTTTTTGTTTTTTGTTTTTTGTTTATTTTTTTTTTTTTTTTGTATTTTTTTTGCAGTCATTTTTTGGACGAACTTGTAAGCCATCAAAAGGAACAACCATTGATGGAAGTAATGATAGCAAAATGTTAAGTACAAAAATGAAATTATTCTGCAAAAATGGTGGAAAATGCAATGTACAGGTGAAAAGGCAATTATTTTTACCATTTTTTACCACCTAAGAAATTCAATTCATTTTGCTTATTTTGCTTTTTAAATTGTTAATAAATTTAAAATAAATAAATAAATAAATAAATTATAAATCAAGAAATAAAATACAAAAAATGTTGTATCGTTCTCTTTCTTTTTTTTTTTTTCCAACTTTTTTTTTTTTTTGTCGCATATAAAAATATTTTTGAAAATTTTAAGTAAATTTTCATTTCCTATTAAATTAGTTATCATTTTTCTTTTTTTTTTTTTAAGGGACGAAATCGAACATCATGTAAACTTTGTCGTTTTAATAAATGTATTGAAGTTGGAATGGCACCACAAAGTATGTTAAATTTGATAATTTTAATGATTAATTAATTAATCAATCAATTAAATGATTAAAGTTAGTTATTTGTTTTATAAGTAAAAAGCAATAAATTTCAAAATTAAAAAATTTTTTTGTTATACTATGAAAAATTTTTCATCCAATAAAGTATTAATAAATTCAATTTCAATTTCGTTTCTTTCTTTTTATTTTAGATTCACGTTACGGTCGTCGTTCAAAGTATTTTAAAGTTTCATCACTTCTAAAAGCTCAAGAAAGGGCTCGTTTTTGTGATGATTATCAATCGGCTAGCCTATTAAGTTCAACAGCGCAATTTGTCAAACCAATTGCGCCTGCACCAGTTTGGGCCTTACCTATTTGGCTATCGACTAATTTCATCAACTCTCGTGATATCTTAGTGATCAATAATGCTTGTAATCAAAAAGATTTAAATAACTTTATTCAATCCTATCCTCAAACTGAACCATTAGATTTATCAATCAAAAAATGATAAATTTAAAGAGTAAATTTTGCTAATTTCATTTTTTATTTCTTAACAGTATTCAAGCGTATAAATTAAAAATGTAAATCATAAAATGTCAAAAAAAAAAGCAAAATAAAAATTTAGTCAATTGATTAAAATGAAATGGAAAATTTTTTTTTTAAAAAAAAAAAAAGCAAATAATGTTTGAATATTTTAAAGCATAAAAATTTAATAATTCATGAATTACTTGTAAAACATAATATTTGTAAAAAAAAAAATTGATTGTTTTTTTTTTTTTCCTTTTGTTATGCTCAAGCATAAATTCTTTATTCCGGGTCTTTCTTATTCATTATTTCACTATAAACTATCATTTTAATTAGTATTATTAATTAGACTAATTTATCTTTCAGTTAATAATTTCAATTAAATAATTATGCAAATCTGTTAGCAGAATTTATTTAAAAATGAAACGAAAACGATAAAAAGTAAAACAAAACAAAACAAAATAGTTGCATGTAATTAAATTGTATTAGCAAATGCATTTCCAATAATTATTTCCATTTCCAATAATTATTATAATCCATTTGTATAATACTAAACTGAAATTTATTGTTTCTTTTTTTTTTTCTTTTTTGCTAAAAACTCAGGATTTTATGAAATGCTTACTTTGTATTTATTAATTAAGTTGTAATAATTACTTCCTCTTTTTCTCTTTTTCTCTTGCATTTTCATTCACTTTTTTTGTATTTAATTTTTTTTTTTCTTTTGAATATAAAATATTCTAATTAATAATAATTAGTGCTGTTTACGTATTATTTAATTACTATTGCAAGAACTCAGGCATTTATTTTCAATGTTTTCTTTCATTCTTCATTTCATTTCATTCTACATCAAAAATTTTTTATTCTTTTTTAATCTTTGAAATTAATACTTTATGCAAATTTCATTCATTCTCAAATACTATAATTCAAATGAAATAAATTACAAAAGACGAAGAAAGAAGAAAAAAAAAATTATTGAAATTTCAATTTGTTAATTTTATTGCATTGTGTATTTTTACTACAAAAAAGAAAAATTTCATCAACAAATTAATTATAATTGATAAAACGACAAAATGTTTATTATTTATTTCTGTTTTTTCTTTTTTTTTAAATTTAGAAATTTCTAGAAATAATTTAAAAAAGAGCCAAAAAAAAAGAAAGAATAGATCATTGCTTTGAAGGAAATTTCTGGCGAAAGCATTTATCCATTTGTGATTTTTATAAAATTTGAATATTTTTTTTTTTTTCATAATTGAAAGATACTTCAAAGATTCCGCCAATAATTACTATTTTATGCATAAAGCATATGGGCGGTAAGTTTCTGATGAAAGATAATATTTTTTTAATTGTTTATTCAGAATGGTATTATTATTACTGTTTTTGAGGGCAATTCAATAATTCAATACATATTTTGAATAAAAAATAATTAATTAACGTAGAATATAATATTATCATTCCTCCTAAACTTTTGATATTAATTAGTATTACTTTTCTGGTTTTAATAAAAAGAATTTGAAATTGTTAATTTTAAAGTTTAAATCAGATAATTTCATCTAGGCAACACTATTGTCTATTGATAATTACTGTGTTTTAATTAAATTCTAAATTAAATTAATTCAATTCCAAATTTAAATTCACAATAAACAAACTTTATTGTAAATATCAAAGTATGAATATCTCTGGAAAATTTAGTAACACTCATTGCAATGATAAATAAAAATTTTGAAGTATCTTGAAATTTTATTATTTTAAAAGTTGCATATGTTGAATAACACGCAGCGTATTGCTTTCTTTGAAGCGTATCTGAAGCGTACGTGAATTGCAATTAAGTAATTTAATTTGAAAATTTCAGAAGAATTAGAATTAATTGCAAGAGTTAAAAATTTTTTTTGCTGATAGAAAGATTTTTTTAACACTGATATCAATTTCAAAAAAAAAAAAAAAAAATTTAACACTGACTTTCCTAATGTAAAAAATAGTAAGCCAAAAAATTCTTCAAGTTATAATCTTAGAAAAAATTAGAATTATTACATTTTCGAGCTTTTCATTCAAATTTTTGACCTTGAAAATTTGTTACCTTTAATCAAAAAGAAATTTCAATAAAATTTACAAAACTGTTGAAGCGTTTAAAATTATGATGCAAAGTTAAATGCAATTGAAAATCTGTTAACTCATTAAAATAACTATCAAATGCGGCATCATATTAAAATGATTGACTAATTTGTTTCATTGTTACTCTTTTTTTTTTTTTTTACAATGATCAAAAAATTTAAATTAATAAATTAGAAAAAAATAAAAAAAGTGAAACGATAAACTGGTTCTTAAATATACATTATTATTATTATTATTATTATTATTATTATTATTATATGTTACATTATTTCTTATAATATTTCATTCTTTTTTTTTGCTACTTTTTTCTTTATTATTTTTTCTTTTTTTTTTTTGTTAATAACAAAGTATTAATCATAAATTTCTCTTAAAATTTTGATAGATTTTAATAAATTTGATAAATGTTTGTTACCAAAACAAACAAACAAACAAACAAACACTTTTAAATTAAAAATAAACTTAAAAATAATAAGAATTTATTATTTTAGTATTAAAAGAGAAGAAAAAATAAAGAAATAGAACTAAATTTCATTCATATTAATCTCTATTCTTCGATTTCTAATTTATTACACACACAGAGAGAGAGAGGGAGAGAGAGGGAGAGAGAGAGAGGGAGGGAGAGAGGGATAAAAATAAAATAATTTTTGCACTCGTTCTAATTGCAATAGCAAATGTAAATTGGCTAAAGCCATGGCAACAGAATGGATGTTAAAAGCTTAATATTAGTTTTTGCTTCAGGTAAAATCAGCCATACCTGTCTCATATGCTTTGATAGATATTTTAATTTCTCATAAAATAATTATTGAAATATTTTTATCGATTATTTTTATTGCATATTTTAATGAATGTAAAAATTTAGCCAAATGCATTTTTATTGAATTATTTCATTGTTAATTTTACAAATAGCGAATAGAAATTTCAATTTCTTTTTGTTTGAATTAATTTTCTTTTATTTTATTTTCTTACATTTAATTATGTTAAGTTTAACTTCTTTTTTTTTTCAATAATTTTAATTAATTTAATTAGAATATTGAAAAGAATAAAGAATTTAAGAAATAATATTATATTTTATTTAAGAAAGAAATTAATCCAAATTGATTGATAACTTTTGCTATCATTTTTATTATTAATAGTATAAAAATAAATTACCATTTTTTTTTTTTTTTTTTTTGAGTCATTTATTTTATTTTTCTTTTTTCTTTTGAAATTATTATTTGTTTAGAAAAAAAAAAAAAATTATTTCTTATTGAAATCATTCAAATAATGATTAATTCACATAAGGAATAAATTTATTAAATTAGAATTGTCAAATCTAAAGTAATACCATTCTTAATATTTTGAAACTTACTTAATGTCACCAAGAAATCTTAAGTGAATGTCACATAACTTCCGCAAATGACACATATTGCAGTGTGTGGCTAATATATTCATTATCAAATGCTTAATTAAATTCATTTTAGAGTTCATTTATAAACATATTTCTAAATTGAAATAAATTACATTTTTAAAATGCTTTTCTCGCTTCTCTATAACATATATTTATATACTTTATTAATTTACTTTATTTTAAGTAAACGAGTAATAATAAATAATATTTGATTTTGAAGCCTTAATTCTTGCTTAATTTGATGTCACAGTAAGGAAATTTTTATTCTCTTAAACAATCAAATTACATTTGAAAATTTTACTATTAGCTTTTTCTTTTAGTAAACTATTTATGTTTATTGATTTGAATGTTAAAATCATTTTCAATTATCACTAAATTCAATTAAACTAAACATTCTTTCTCCTTTTTTTTTTTTTTTTTTCTGAAAAAATTATTTTATAATTATTCTATGAATTTCTTCGTTTTTTTCGAATGTTTTCTTTTTTTTTAAAAAAAAAAGAAAAAAAAAAAAAATGAAAAGTCATCGATTATAAATTCATTATTTAAATCCTCCCTTTGTACTTGTCAAATATTCAGCATTTATTTTACATAAATTTTATTTTCAGATATTCTTTTCGAGAGCAATTATCAGATTAGCCTACATTTTAATCATTTATTTATTTTTTTCTCTCACATTTTTCTGCATTGTTAATTTTAAATAAAAAAAAAAATTTTAATTGCGATAAATTTGTGAATGTGAAAATTTTCCCCGCTGGCATATCACTTCTAAGTTTTTGTATTAGAATTCAAAGTTTGTAGTTTTTTTTTTCTGAAGTAACTTTTTTTTTAAACTATAAAAAAAAAAACTTTAGCCTTTAAAATATAACAAAATTTGCAAAATGTCTTCTTTTAATTGTAGAAAAATTGAAACTATTTTATACTCATTAAGTACTTATGAGAATGTTTTCTCGAATAAATGCATTTGAATAAGTATTTGTCAGTTTAAATGTGAATGCAAAAATTATTTCACAAAGTTCAAAAATTATGCAAAGATTGAAGTATTAAAACGAACTATTAAAATAAAATGAAGAACAAAAACAGTAATCCTTAACAAAAGTTTATTTCAAAAAATTTGGTAAATTAAGTATAATTTTCTTAAATTAAAAAAAATTATTTAGTAGTTGAATAAATTTTAAAAGTAAAATTCTTTTTGCTAAATTTAATAATTTAAAATTGAATGATAATGCATATTTTTATATTTTTTGCTTCTTTTTTTTATTTATAAATGAAAAAAAAAAGTTTAAAAAAATTTTTTTTTCCAAAAATTTAAATAATAATATTTTTTTATCGTTTACTTTCATTTTTATAAATTCATTGAAGTTTAAATGGTACTAATTAAATATTTCTAATTTAGTTAGTGCAATGCATGTTAAATGCATTTATTATTATTATTGCAAGTTTGTTTTCCTATATAAAATATAATAATTTTTATTTAAAAAAAAAAAATT